CACCCACACTTGGTACGGCCCAGCGCGAAGCATGGCGGGGCTGAGGGCGGCGGCGCCGGCGCCGGCGCGGCGGGAGCGGAGCGGGATTCCTCAACCACGGGTGGTTGCCGTGATAGGAAGCCAAGGGGGAAAACTTGTTCTACCCAAGTACCGGTGGGTAGCAGGGTGGCAGCAGGGGATTCTCCACCTCATACTGAGCACTGTAATGCTTTGGTCCTGTTTTTAGGTCTGCTCCATCCACAGAAAAAAAATGTGTTGCTGCTGGAGCGAGTCCAGAGAAGGCAAAGGAGAGGGTCCAAGAATCGGAGCTCCTCTGCTCTGGAGACAGGCTGAGAGGTTGTTCAGCCTAGAGACAGCAAGGCTCCAGGGAAACCTTAGAGCCCCCTCCAGTGCCGGCGAGGGACTTGGACAAGCGCATGGAGTGACAGAACAAGAATGCCTTTAAATTTAAAGAGAGAACATTTATATTAGATATTAGGAAGAAGTTCTTTCCTGTGGCAGTGATGAGGCCCTGACACACATTATCCAGAGAAGCTGTGGCTGCCCCATCCTTGGAAGTGTCCCAGACTCACCAGGTTGGATGGGGCTTGGAGCAACCTGGTCTAGTGGAAGGTGTCTGCCTATGGCAGGGGGTTGGAAGTAGATGGCATCTGAGGCCCTTCTAACCCCAGCCATTCTGCAATTGTCCTTGTTCTAAGGCTGAAAGAATCAGAGATGCCCATAGTGGTAGTTCTTAGGAAGCAGATGCTATCCACCCATGGTCTCCATCTGAGCTGTTACATAAAACAACCCATCCCAACATTAGGAAAAACACCACTGGACCCAGATCTAACTATGTGCCTTGGCAATCCATTCACATCATGACTCCTCCACTGTTGTGGTTGCTACCAATCCAATTTGGGAGGTCACAGAAAATTCAGGATTTTAGCAGAAATCCAAGGTAAAAACAGCACACTGCCCTTCAGCAGCCAGCACAGAGCTGAGGGGCAACAGGAGCTGTTCAGAGGCAATGGCAATGCATTCCTTACAAAGACTGCTGACCAAGTGTTTTCCGTGGGAATTCTGAAGAGTCCCTGCAATGTGCACTGCCCACAAGATAATGTGTTCATTTCAGGTGAAGCTTTAATTCCCTTTTATCAAATGGCTAAGATATTTTTTTAAAGAAAGTAACATAAAGGATGTGTTTCAAGTAGGGGGGTGAAGCAGGATGATTAACAAAAGATATTTTATTAAAGCTGTGAATCATAAGCCACCTTATCACTGCAAGCAGTTTTGCTCCCAACTTTAACTTTTTAACATCAACAGCTTTTTTGACAACACACATTTGGTGACCAGGACTTCCTGAAAAGATTCCAGCAGTCCTAAGAAAGCAAGAACCTTTGGTTTCTTCAATTCTGGAAAACAATTCCTTTTCCTCCTCCAGTCAGCATCACATCTGAGTGTTTCTGTTGGAGCATCATGGAGTTCAGCTTGTTACATGAGATCTGCACTTTCCAATCAACACACTTGGTTCTTCCTCACGATTGTGATAAAACAACTTAAAGCCTTATTTGCTGTTTACCTTGATTATGGTAACAAACTACAATATTTTGTCATGATACCTGACTTTCCTGCAGTGGTTGGGTTTTTTTTTTAAGTCAGAAACAAGTTATTTGCTCCACCCAGCATCCAGAGAGTCTTAGATCTCATTTGTACAACAGGATGTACCTTGGTGTATCTGAACTCACCCTTACATTCACCAAGACTTCAAAGATGTTTCCTATTTCCTAGAGGACTTCCAAGAATATTTTGAAATGGGACATAATTTTCCCTATGCCTTAATTTTTAACCTATGTAAATTCCCATTTTCTTCTGCTGAATTATGTAATCTTTTATAGGCATGAGGCATCCTCATTAGACCAGTGGAATTGTCACTACTTGTCACAGGCATCCCACCTGTGCTCAGTGCAACTGCTTCACCTGTCAGCAGTTTAAGCTCATCTCTAATACCTTGACAGGTATTTGAGTTTTGTTAGACATTTGCTGAGTCTCTTATTTGCAAAGAACTCAGCTATCCCAAGTAGCTGTTATGTAGCTGATTTAGGCTGGAAAAGACCTCCAAGACTGAGTCCCAACTTCTGATAAATCCTCACCTTGCCAACCAGAACAGAGCACTGAGTGTTATGTCCAGTTGTTACTTGAACACCTCCAGGGATGGGGCCTCCACAACTTCTCTATGCAGTCTGCATCAAATGGAGTTCCATTCCAAATGGAATTCCAAGAGTCCATTCTGGGATCCCCCAGTGTGGTCCTCACATCCCTGGCCCTTCTCTGGGGATCCCCCAGCCTGGCTCCTGTGGTGATGGCCTAAGAAATATCAGGCTCATCAAGTCCAACTTTGAGCCTTCCATAGCACATCTCTGAGAGGCACACCACATCTCTGAGTGCCCGAGTGTGTTGTCCACACACTTGAACTCTCAGGCGTGGGAGTCACAGGATTTAGCCTCAAGGCACCTCCCATAGTCCTCCAAATACAGGCTTTCTGTACTTACAGTACAAAGACTTATAGGTGTGTATGTATCAGGTGCTGAAATGAGGCATGATGCAAGAGAGACCACAGGTAATTACTTTAACCAATATTCGCACAGTGCTTTGAACTGGTGAGTGGCAGGAAGGGTGGAAAGAAGCAAGCAGAGCCTCAGAAAGGAAAGCTGAGATGCTCACACCGTGATTAGGACGGATGCGCTGCTGACATTGTCTGAGCTACAGCTGCTAAATGCAGGAGGCACTTGAAGGAGGCTCCCTATTTTGTTGCACATAGAAGTCGATAGGTTATTTAGGCTGAAAACACCGCGTATTTCAATTCCCCGGCCCCTCACGGGCGCCGCCAGCATGGCGGCCGGGCC